CTGGGAACACATGTGGGGAATAACCATGGGACAAAGCAAATAGGTCAGAAACATGTCTGTCCTGGGCCCTTTATTCTTGCAGGGCCACATCCCAACTGGAAGGTGCTTCTGCTCCAAATATAACCATTTTCTCTTGGGAGCCACTGAGGATTATCTGCTTGTCTGGTGAAAGCTATCAAGCCACAATGTACTTCCTCCACTGTTACACTCTCCTGTCAGGGTCCTCTGCTGCTACTTGATGGTCTTCTGCTGAGTTTCAGCAGCTTTACGTCCTTTTCCCCACAAGTCAGTGTCTTTGCTTTTTTTTTTTCCCTCTTGAGACTACAGGACCAGGCAAGCTCTTTCTTAGACTCACCCTCATTGCCATATGTGGCCCTGACAGCAAAAACCAGCTGAAGCCCAGAGGTTTAGAGTAAGTCTATCATTTACACTGGATCTGCCTCAGGTTTCTATTGCTTAAATCAGACAACTATTTGAATTAAGTGAGTGAGTGTAGTTTCTTTCAACTTCTATCATGTCAATTATGGACCATGTGACTCTTATTGGGACCTTTAGTGTGGTGGCAACTTTTGTCAGACTTTTCTGCCAGCAATGAAGTCACTGACTTTCTTACAAAGATATGGAATGATTTCTGAGCAATGCCAAAGGGGTATGAAATAAAGCTCTAATCTGAACATAATAAAGTTCTAATAGCTACATGACGAGTAACTTATCACTTTGGCAACTAATATTTATTGTTCAGAATAGAGTGGCCCCCAATGTTGCTATGCCAGAGTTAAATGGCATATGGACATTGTGATTATTGGGTAGAGATAGAAAAGGATGGAGCCCTTCAACATAAACAGGAGACCAAGGAAACTTATGGGAACCTAGAAGAGCTCTACTTAGCTGCTAACAATACTCAACATTTCTCACATCTGTCCTCTTCTCTACATTTATACTGCTAATTTCTTAATTCGGTCCCCCTGTTTCAAGTTTTGCTCTTCTCTAATCCATTGATCAAGCAAGCAAGGAAACCAATGAGAAAACATTTATTAAGGATCTAGTACTTGCTAGGTACTGTGGAATACAAAGAGCAAAACTAGACAGCCATCACCTCAAGAAATAGATTCAAATGGAGGGAAAATGGAAAACATTCACAGATCTGGGCATATGGAAAATACGTACAAAAGAGATATAAGGGAACCTTGGGGTTAAGGTAGTAGCAGCAGATAGGGAGTCCTGGAAAGGCCTCATGAAAAAGGGAGCAGTTGAGCTGAGTTGGAAAGCAAGTCAGGAATTCCAAGAATCAGGGGTGAGAAGGGAAAGAGTGAATTTATAGAATCACAGGATCATAATTTGTAACTGGAAAGGACTTCAGAAAGATCATCTAATCCAGGGGTGGAGAACAATTCATTCTGTGAAGTCTGGTTTCAGTTAAAGGGCTACACTTGAGGACCTAGAGGGTCACATGCGGCCTTGAGGCTGCAGGTTCCCCATCCCTGAATCCAACCCCCTTATTTTATGGTTATAATTGTTGTTTAGTCAGGTCAGTTGTGTCTGACTCTTTGTGACCCCATTTAGGGTTCTCCTAGCAAAGATACTGGAGTGGTTTATCATTTCTTTCTCCAGCTCATTTTACAGATGAAGAAACTGAGGCAAACAGGGTTAAGTGACTTGCCCAGGGTCACACAGCTAGTGAGTATCTGAGGTCAGATTTGAACTGAAGAAGATGAGTCTTCCTGACTTCAGGCCTGGCACTCTATGCACTATGGCACCACCTAGCTGCCCCATCTCCCCTCATTTTACACATAAGAGCTCCATAAAGGAGCCCTCCCAGAAGTAATAAATGACTTCCCCAAGATCACATAGGTAGTGACAGTCAGGTTTTGAAATCAGGACCTCTGATGCCAGAATCAGCCTGCTTTCCACTACTCTACCCAACATGGAGGACTGCCAACACACAGGGGAAAAATTGAATCTACATGCTGGCCAAAATTTCTGGGTTCTCCAAATGCCCATAACAGATCTTATAAGGGAGAGCTGAGTGACTCATTCATTTGCAAATGAGGAAACTGAGGTCTGCATAAGTGAAGTGACTTGTTCAAAATCACACAGAGAGTAAGTAGTACAATGGGGTCTCAAACCCAGGTTGATTCTAAATCCAGTGCTGTTTTCACTATATCACGGAACCATTTAAGGGACCACTTTTTTGTTTTGTTTTTTTTGTTTTTTGTTTTTGGTTAGGCAATGGGGTTAAGTGACTTGTCCAAGGTCACACAGCTAGTAAGTGTCATGTGTCTGAGGCCGGATTTGAACTCAGGTCCTCCTGAGTCCAGGGCTGGTGCTTTATCCACTGCACCACCTAACTGCCCCGAAGGTGCCATTTTTAAAAGCCACAGCAACTAATGTTAGGGATCCATGTGAACAGAGCAGGGGTAGAAGTGTAGAAAAGGGAAGATAAAAGAACGGGACCATAAGGAGATGTTGATAAAAAAAAAGAGAGATCAACTTCATGAAAGTGAGAGCATGAGAAAAGAATGAAGAAGGATAATTCAGGGGTGAGGAATGAGAAGATTAGTGTTAGCAAAGGCAAGTCTTTACTTATATCAGAGATGGGCTACCACTGCTCATTGAGGAATGATATGACGAGCGAGAGGAGGGGCAATTCTGATTAAAAGACAAGAATGCTGCCTCCCGTTTGGTTCTCAACCATTTTTCTTTCCTAATCCTCTTCGTTCTACTCTCACTTGTACCAGTTGAATGCATAGGGTGTTCAGGGAGGACTGACACCTCTGGTGTGAGGGCTTGCTGGGCCCTTTCCAGGGCTTCTCATCCACCTTTGGTGTCCATCTTCACCTAACTCTCACAAGTGGCTCCAAGAAGCTGTAGCACGTGTAATGGCCACATCTTGGTAAATCATTTTAGCAGATGGCTAAACCAGGTTAAGGGTAACCGAGAGGCCTGAAACCTGTCAGTGAGTTGGGACTTACCCCAACATATGAAGATGTCCCCCAGCAGAACGAGTGGACGAGAACAATTAGTTCCAACAGCCAGGAAGGCAGCTGAAGCAGGTGCTGTGGAGCGCTCAGAGTTTGGTCAGACGTTGAAGACGCCAAGGTCATCCAATGCATCCCAGGCCATCACCAGTCATCTTGATTTGCATCTTGCTTCTGAACTCCAGTGACTCTGAAAGAGTAAGGCTGATCACTTTGTGCAACTCTGCCTCACTTAAATTCAATACCTGTGTATGTCATTACCTATGATGTCATTGGTCCTCTTTGAAAACGAAGGATGAACAATAACCAGTTGAAAACATTCCTAGGAAATATTCTTCAAACTGATTGAGAAAGCTGAACTCTATGATTAGAGGCCAATGCAATATGCACAAAACAAAAATTATAGCGAGATTCGATTTTTCCCTCTTTTTGCTTCTTTGCTAAAATCTAAAGTCTTTTCTTGCTTTAGAAAAGTAAAAATCAGTTTGGATATATTAGTTTGACATTAATCAGCATTCTTCTCTGTAGTCTGGTTCTATACTATCAGGGAAGCTAGATGGTGCAATGGATAGAGTACTGGACTTGGAGTCAAAACACTTGAATTCAAATCCTACCTCAGATACTTACCCCCTGTGTAACCCTAGGCAGGTTGCAACCTTCCTCAGCCTCAGTTTCTTCATCTCTAAAATGGGAGAATAATAGCACCTACTGTAGAGGCTTATTGCAAGAATCATGTTATTATTATTAGTCTTACTTAATCCCCACTACTTGCCAACCCAAACTCTACACATCAGTAAGGCTCATTTTTGTACCGTTTGCTGAAACAAAGCTTGTTCATTTATATTTCCTTATCTTCATGTAATTTTGTACCAAGAATTCTCTCTCCATGCCCTCTTGACAACAATGTTTCCTGTCTTTCAAGATCCAGCTTAATAAAGGAGTTGAAGAAGGTACATTGTTCAGATCCTAAAAGCTCTGACCCATATAGATCTCTTATCTCCTCTGAAGCCCTATTGCCATTATTGTTTGCCCAAGGATGCGCTGGTAAATATTTAATAACCAGCTATCTAGAAAAAACTATGCATGACATAATTTAAGTTTAATCTGCATTATTAACACTTTATCCATTACTTTCTAAAGTTTAGATAATCAATAAAAGAATAATTCAGCCCTTGATTTGTAGCATTTACCTATTTACAAAATACAAAGGTTAACTCTGAAAATTTGATGGCTCTTGAGAACTAAGAGCTGGCAGCAGCATACTTCTGCACATGTCACTCTTTTGACACTTAATCCTATCCTATCATGTACTCTTTCACTTTTTGCAATGCTACCTCAATGAGATTATAAATCCTTTGTGGGCAGGGGCCATATCCTATACTTCTAGCCCTCTGCAGGGCACATGGTAAACAGTGAATAAGTATTTGTTTGTCTGATTGATCACTGTTGCCTGCTACAAACTTGTGAGGAAAGCAGCCACAACTACGAACATATTCTTTAGAATAGTTTGTCTTTTTCTTCTGCCCAATATATTCTCATTTCATGAATGTTTGTTTGCACTGGCAGTTCCTCATGCTTGTTATGCACTCCCTCATCATTTCTGTTTCTTGGAATCTCTGGTTTCCTTTAAGACTCTACTCCATGCTACCTTCTAAAAGGGTACTTTCCCGACTCTCCACCACCACCCCATCCCATTCCCAGCTTCTAGTGCTCTACCTCCCCAAAACCTTGTAATTATTTAGCATGTTCTCTCTCTCTTTCTTTCTCTCTCTCTCCCTCCTTTTTGTCTCCTCTCTTTGTATATATGTATACATGTATGTGTATGTATGTGTGTGTATATACACACACACATATAGATAGATAGATAGAAGGCTGTTTAACTTTCATCCTTAGATCCAGCACTGAACACAGTGACTAGAATATAGCAGGCATTTAATAAATAATTATTGATTGATATGGTCAAGGATTAAAAAATATGCAGCCATGACTCTCTTGTATTTACTAGCTTATTTCTTTCCTTAGGAGACAATGTGAGTATACAGATCATCAACTTCAACTTTGAAAGGACACATGTTAAGTGGAATGTCAGTGAATATCTGGCTGAGAAGAATTTAACTTTCTTTTATGGGTAAGTATTTATGAAGAAAATCCTTAATACAATGGAAAATCCTTAATACAATGGAAAATACAGTGGAAAATCACATATGCTTTTCTGAAATATCTTCCTCATGTGGGCAATAAGGAGAATGCCAGAGGAATATACTATTCTATTTAAGTCTCTATCTTTCAGAGCTCAGTTTATCCTTAGTTCATACTACAACCACATTTCTCTAAGCCTTCTCATGAGTCAGAAGCTTAACCACTCAGACTCTTATACTAGTTATTCACGAACATGCTTATTTACACCATGGAGAGTGGTGGGTTTAGAGGTTAGAAGAGCTGATCTTATGGCAACCTTTCAGGGCATTTCTGACATTTTTTTCTGCTGTTTGATATGGTCAAGGATAGGGGTGATATCTGTGATTCCATTAGTATAGGCATTTTCCTGGTATAATGACAGCTAGATAGATGGTTCAGTGGATAGAGTACTGGGCCTGGAGTGAGGAAGACCTGAGTTCAAATCAGGTCTCAGATATTCACTAGTTGTGTGACCCTGGGCAAATCCCTTAACCCCTGTTTAACTTAATCCACTGGAGAGGGTAGTAGTTGAGTCCCCTGATAATTCCCAGTCTAGCACTCTTTCCACTATTGTGCCTAGTAGACATATTTTTTTTAATTTGAATTCAACATTATCTAAGAATTGGAAATCAAAAAGATACCCATCAATTGGGGAATGGCTAAATGATTGTAATAGAATATTATTGTGCTATAAGAAATGATAAGTCAGATGATTTAAAAAAAACCTGGAAAGACTTACATGAACTGATGCATAGTGAAGTGAACAAAACCAGGAGAACACTGTGCGCTGTAACTTAACTATTCTCAGCAATACAATGATACAAGACTATCCCAAAGGACTCATGATGAAGCATAATAGCTGCCTCCAGAGGAAGAACTGATATTTGAATACAGACTAAAGCATGGTATTTTCATTATCTTTCATTATTTTCTCTTATTCAAGTCTTCTTGTACAAAATGATGAATATGGAAATGTTTTACATAATTGCATGTGTATAATCTGTATTTGATTGCTTGCTTTCTGGGCAGGAGGAGGAAGAAGGGAGGGAAAGATAGAATTTGGAACTCAAAACTTTAAATAAAAATGTTTAAAAAAATTGAAAAAATGAATTCATCATTATCTCGTGTTTTATGAGATGTATTCTAATACATTTTGGGCCTCATTCTAAAAAATACAAATACTGAAAAAGAATAATAGGGAGGAAGACAAAAAATAAACTGAGTTGGGAAATAAGACCTATGAAGATAATAGTTTTAATTTTATTTTTTCAATGAACAAGAGTCTATTTTCCCTTTCCTCTTTCCTCCCTTGCCTAGTGGGAGTGAGAAAAGAAGAAAAATAAAACTCTTGTAACAAATATGCACAGTCAAGCAAAACTAATTGTTGCATTGGCTGTGTTGAGTAAATATGTCTCATTCTATGTATTGAGTCCATTGCTTTCCTGTTAGGAGATAGGTAGAATGTTTCATCATCAATCCTTTGGAATTCTGGCTGGTCATTACTTTGACCAGAGTTCTTAAGTTCATATCACAGGTTAAGAGGTAGAAGGGATCTTACAAGTCCCCTTGTCTGACTCAAGGTCACAGAGGCAAAAAGCGGCAGAGCCTGAATTTGAACTAATGCTTTTACAAATAAATCACACTGTAGAGATGAAGTTTTTTATCCTACGGATAAATGAAGCCCATTGTAACATGACTCTTTATAGTGGTGGTTAGGTTATGCCAAATCAGTCCAAATATATTCTGCATTTACAAAATTAAGTTATCTCTTGCTATAAAATAATATACGTCTTTTCAAAATGAATGTGGGTCTTCTTCACGTAGTGTTTTCCTGGTCTGCCAATAATACTGTAATACTGAAGATTCTATTATATTTGAAAGGCTGTCATGGTGAAAGCACAAACCAACCTTTTCATCTCCCAATTGCAGTAGGAGAGATTTAGAAAAAAAGGGCTTCCAAACATTGATTAAACCACGAGTTCCTTTATCTGAGACAAGTGCTCTGTCTATTATGCCAAAGCAACCTTTCTATGTTTATGTGTATGCATGTATATTTACATTTATAAATATATATAATATAAATATTCAAATGCATATATCTACATTTGCACATATATTTATATATTTATAAATATTTATTCATGTATTTATAAATATAAATGTATAAATTTAATATATGACAAATTTATAAATATACGTTTAAATATGTGTGTATATATGTGTATGTGTGTGTGTGTATACATATATATTAACATCACACACACTCAAATTTGTGTACAAAGAAATCCTTTGGCCTTTACAGAAAATTGCTTCTAGAGGTCTTTATAGAATCATCAATACACACCTGTAAAGGATGTCAGAAGTCATCTAACCTACTTTCTCATTTAAAAAATGAGGAAACTGAGGTTCAGGGTGATCAAGTGACTTGCCCAAAGTCATACTGAATGCCAGAGTTGGGATTTGAACCCATGCCCTGACTCCAATTCCTATGCTTTTTTCACTATATGCTGCTATCTCTCACAACTTCCTCATAAGTATGAGGCTCTAAGTCATAAGTCATAAGACTCTATCAGTATTAATATTAGAGTTCTAAAAACTCTAATATTAATTAGAGATTAATGGGATTAAGGGGAAGCCAGGGCTAGATAGTCTGACTATTATATAGCTCAGGTGACCATTTTTCCTACATTTTTGACACATTCTGTAATTAAAAAATATATATAAATGGATATTATATTTTAGAAAAGTTTTTTCTAAATTTATTACTATCATGATTTATGTTTTTTCTTATTGATATGATTTACTATTACCTTGTTGTACTCCCCCAAACCCTTGTGAGAAGGTATTGTACATATTATTATTTTCATTTTACTGATGAGAAAACTGAGTTTTAGAGAAGTTAGGTGATTTGCTTATGGTTACATAAATTACTAAGTACCAGCTTATTATATAGATAATTTCAAAAAGAAATGGAAAGACTTACATGACCTGATGTAAAGTTAGCAACACCAAAAGAACAATTTATACTATCATATTAATATTATAAAAATGAAATTTTAAAAATATTTTTATGAACTGATGAAGAATGAAATAGCAGAACTAAGAGAATTTACACGATAACAACAATGGAAAAACAAACTTTGAAAGCTGTAAGAATGATGATTTAAGCCAAGTTTCTCCTGCAATCTTGCCTTCTAAGTAGCTGATGATACCTCCACAAAGTCCCACACTTGATACCTCACTGTAGTATGGAGGTGATCCTGAATTCTTAAAGGTTATGCCAATAAAGCGGGAGTCCCAGCATGTGCTGCCATTTTGGAAAGCTTTAGGCATGGTTCTTAGGGCCTCTTTAGCTAAGATCTGGAATAGCTCAGCACTGAATAGCTGCACACTTGGCAATGAAAGCTTTGGTCATGACTACTGATAAAACAAGGGAAAATCCAAAAATGGCTCTCAATCTTAGGTAATCTTTTTTTATTTTTATAGTGGTAGCAGAGTGGTAGAAAAGGTGATAGGCTACCTTACTAAGAATGGTATAGGTTTTAGATGGTCTATGAACATTAATTTGCATTGAAAATTTCAAGGCAGAAATGAGCATATAAAGTGATAGTAGCACTAACTTTTTTCTTTGACTGTAGATTGGACAAAGCTTCACCTTCACAACAATGTTCTCATTACACTTTTGATCATGGTTATACTGCTGGATGTCTTTTTAAGGCTGGAGACAACAGACTGACTTTTTTACTCAAGAGAGAAGAAGATGAAGTATTTGAACGAAGGAATGTAAGGCTTAGCCGTTACTGTAAGTACCAAGCCCAGTCTACATTTTTGCTTTCTCAGCTGCTGAAATACAGTAGAATCCATTTTATAGACAAGTCCAAAGTAGTAAATGAGTCCCTCACTAACATGGTGAACATGGATTTGCAGTGGTGGATGTCAGTGCATTTGCTAGTTATCGTGACCTTTTTTCGTTGTTGTTGGTTTGAATACAAATGAGTAGAGAGAAGTTAAGGGGATGAGAGAGAGAGTGAGTGAGAGAGAGAAAGAGAGAAAGAGAAAGAGAGAGAGACTGAGCACTAAGGCCTGACCTCCACCCAATGATTGCAGGGAAAGGGAGCAAATCTTATTTAAGTGTCTTAAAATTTAACTAGACATTTATGATAATTTAAAAAACCTCAGTTAAGCGCATCTTCCTGATCTGTCTATTGTCTTTAGGGAAAGGTACTGGACATCTCATTTACTTGGTATAGAGAACTTCCAGATGAGGAAATTCCCTTTCCCATTGGCATGTCCTCAACAACTTAACTCCTTATTTTAGAGATGCCACTTTGGAGTTCTGAGAGTTTAAGTGCTTAAGAATTTAAGCCATGATGTGTCAGAGGCATATTTGAATTTGGGTCTTCCTGGCTCCAAGGCTAGTTCTTTCTTTACCATACCATTCTGCCTCTCTGTAATCTTTATTATATAAAATACTGTATTATGGACCAGCAGAGCTTAAAAGAAAAATTTTAAATAAATCCTAAAAGACTGAGGGAGTCAAGAAAACCCCAGGTATTTAATAGAGTTGAAATATTTTTTTTCTATGAATAACTTAGTTTTTGGTAAAATAAGTTTTCTCTTTCAGTAAAACCCAGTTCTCCAACCAATGTGAGCTTCACATGGAGAGAAGACTCAGTTACAGTAACATGTTCTGATTTGCCTATTTCTGGTCTCACCTATGAAATTCAGCACAAAAGCATCTTTGATCAAAAATGGCTGGTAAGTCTATCAAGCATGTTTTAGCTTCATCTGATTATCTAATCTTAGAAGGAGAGACATCTTAGGTCCAGGAGAAGACTATCTAGTTAGAGAAGTAGAAAGTGACATAGTCTTCCTAAATATGTGTCCTTTTGTTTTACCTAGTTCTTACTAAATTTTTTCACTCTAGGTGATCCTTATTAACAATTGAATGTTAATCAACTGTTAATATGTAATTGTTGAACACATGCTATATAGTTGGGGTAGTTGATAGATTGCTGAACCTGTAGTCAATAAGACTCAAGCATAAATCTCACCACAGGCACTACCTACCTTTGTGACTGCAGGCAAGTCACAGGACCTTTCTCAGACTCAGTTTTATCATCTTATGAGGATAAGACATGATAATGGGATAACAATGGCACCAACTTATCAGAGTTGCTGTGAGAATCAAATGAGTTAATGAAAGTAAAGCTCTTTGCAAACCTTATAACACTACATAAACACCAGCTATTATTATTATTGTTGTTGTTGTTAATAACAATAATTGACAATATACTAACCATTGTGAGATATGTAAGAAGTCTAAGACATGCTCCCTGTTCTCAAGGAGTGAGAATAAAATTTATTTGGAGAGAAAAGAAGCAGAATCACACAATTTGAGAGTTGGAAAGAATGTCAGTGACAATCCAGTCCAACTAATAGAGAGAAAGAATCTCCGATATAACTTACATAGCAAGTGGTCATCCAACCTCTGAATGAAGACTTCTAAGGAGAGGGAAACCTACCACCTCTTGAAACAGCCCATTACATTTTTGGAGGGCTGTACTTATAAGGAAGTTTTTTTGCCCTCAGACATCAGGCCTAAATTAGACTTTGCAATTCACATTCATTTTTCTTGTTCCTACCCTTTCATCCTTCTTTCTCATGATAGCCCTTCACATACTTAAAGACGACTGTCATGTTCCTCCCCAAATTTTATCTTCTTCTTTAGGGTAATTATCCTCAGTTCCTTCCACTGAACCTCATGTGACAATGACTTAGGGCACTTCACCATCCTGGTTACTCTCCTCTGGACACATGGAATAAAAACAAACCATATGAGACAGAATGTAATTAAACATTAGATTCTGTGGTACTTTTTTCTAAGGACCATAGTAGGCAAGAGGAAGGCTGGATCATTGAGAGTTGGGGTAGTCAGGGAATTCTCCATGGAGGAAATGAGACACAATGTGGGTTTTGAAGGATGGATAGTTACATGGATAGAGGACGGAATGCACAAAAAATGGTTCATAGCACCAAGAAAAGATGAATATCGGATATTCATGGGAAAGTAAGATATTAGAGTTTTTGGTTTTTTGTTTTGGCTACTTTCCCTTTCTGTTTCCACAATTCCCTCAATACATATCAGCCAGGCTATACAGTTCAGGGTGAAGGAAAAATGGAGCAATAGGACATTCTTAGAACATTGTTTATATTTTAGAATGACATCTATCCATTTCATTGGGGAGCTCTCTTAGTGGGAACAAAGTATTCTATTTGTACAACACTTTAGGTATAATTGGCCTCGAGTCTGTGCCTTACCTTCCTTCAGGAAAAGGCACATGCTGTCTGTGCACTGCAGAAACAACCACAAAACACTGAGAATTTTTCAATGCTTATTATCAATCAATCAATCTACAAACACTTATTTTTAAGTGATTACTATACGTCTGTAAGGAGAAAAGCAGCCAGGGAAGTATCAATTTAATATATAAACTCATTAGTAAAATCTTATCAGAGTATGGTGAAAGTCTATGAATAATACAGCCAAACGAAAAAGCAGGAAGTAGTGGAGAGAGAAAAAAAAATGACCCGTAAAGCAATGCAAGAGACCAAACCAAGCAAGATCATAGTCATGGCATTTAAAGGTGAAATTATAAAGAGTCAATCAGTCATTCAAACACTTAATAAGCATTAAATTAATAATAATTTTATCAATTATTCAAGTAACAAGAATTTATTCAGTACTGCTATGTGCCAGGGTCCAAAATAAGTTCTTGGCAAACAAAGAAAGGCAAAAACAAGGTCCCTGACCTCAAGGAGCTCACATTTAATTGAGAAGACAACATAAAAATAAATAAGCAAACAAAACAATATATACAGGGTAGAGAGAAAAAAATTCTTGTATTTGGAGGGACCAGGAGAGGCCTCTTGAAGAAGAGTTGAACCTTGAAAGAACTCACAATTGGGCCCTTATGTGGCATTATTAGTGTAATGAGTGGCAAGTGTTGATTGGCATAACTGTACTGAGACAAGAAAAAAATCCCCCAAAATAAATGGAAATTTTTGCTGAGTTAAAAGTGAACTATATTCTATTAACTAGAAGGAGGCATTTTATTTTCAATTTATCAGTTAAAGTTTCATATTTACTACTTTTTGAGATACTAATAATGAAGTATGGCTTAGAGTCCAGAGACTGAAGAGGCCACCAATATAGAGCCAATTTCCAATCCAGTGAACTATCTGACATCTAGTAAACCAAAATGTTAATTAAAGAAGGCACTTGGAATCATAATCAGAAAACATGGACTTGAATCCTAATTCTCGTGCATGCTATCCTTGTAGAGCTGGACAAATTGTTTCCCCTCTCTGGGCCTCAGCTTTCTAATTTGTAAAATGAAGCAGTTGATAAAACTAGAAGGGAATTTAGAGGTCATCTAGTTCATCTCTGGACCACTAAGTGGCGCAGTGGATTGAGTGCCAGACCTGGAGTCAGGAAGACTCATCTTTCTGAGTCCAAATCTGACCTTAAACACTTACTAGCTGTGTGACCCTGGGAAAGTCATTTAACTCTGTTTGCCTCAGTTTCCTCATCTGTAAAAATGATCTGGAGAAGGAAATGGCAAACCACTCCAGTATCTTTGCCAAGAAAACCCAAAATGGGGTAGTAAAGAATTGGTCATGACTGAAAACAACTGAACAAAAACATTTCATTTCTTTCATTTTACAGATTAAGAAAATGAAGTCCACAAAGATAAAGTGACTGTTCCAAGAGTAAACTAGTATTAAGTTACATAATTTCCAAATCTTTCTACTCTAAATCTCTATTTTTTTTGTCCCAATATTTACCTCAGACAAAGGAGTAGGAGAGGTGGGGAAAAAAAAGTCAACAAAGAGGAAATGTAGTTGTTGGAAGGGGTAGCCAGGTGGGTGCAGTAGGTGGAGCATTGTAGAGTGGATAGAAACCTGGAGTCAGGAAGACCTGAGTCCAAATCTGGCCTCTGACACTTACTATATCCGTGTGACCCTAGGCAAGTCACTTAACCTTGTTTGCCCCAATTTCTTTGTCTGTAAAATGAGTTAGAGAGAAAAAAAAAAAGACAAACTACTCTGGTATCTTTGCCAAGAAAACCCCAAATGAGGTCACAAAGAGTCAAATATGACTTAAGCAATTGAACAACAACAAGATACTGGAAAAATGAGGAGTCAATACAGAATGGAACTGAGAAAAGAGAAAGAAATTAGTAATAAATAATAGTATCTAAACAAATTAGACCAGACCTATAATTTTATTGGTATAAGGAATACTTAGTGAGAAAATTTAATCTACCTATAGAGATCAGCATCTGCTCTGCAACTTCTAGTTGTCTGGAGGTATAGAGAGGTTTAATTACTTGCCCAGCATTACATAGTCAATATGTTTCAGAGATAGGACTTGAAATGATGTCTTCATGATTTTAAAGACAGCCTTCTACCCACATCCTATGGCTGCTTCTTATCAAATAATTTAAAAAAAAAATCACATTTTTTTAAATCCAGATCTACCTTTTTATTGATGTAGAGCAGAGGTGTCAAATGTCTGGCACACAGTCCCAAGTGCAGCCTAAACCAGATTAAAATATAATCAGGAAATATTTAACAAATAAATAAAAATACAGATTAGTATACCCCCATCCAGATTTTTGGTTTAGTGGCCTCTGTTTGTATTTGAATTTGATGTCATTGGTGTACAGGAAGCTAGGTGGTGCAGTGGATAGAGTGCTGGGCTTAGAGTCAGTTCATGAATTCAAATCTGGCCTTAGACATTTACTAGCTGTGTGACCCTGGACAAGTCACTTAACTTTCTGTTTGTCTCAGTTTTCTCATCTGTAAAATGAGCTGGAGAAGGAAATGGCAAACCACTCCAGTATCACTGCCAAGAAAGCCCCAAATGGGGTCACAAAGAGTCACATGAGACTGAAAAAACAAAAACAAAACTGAACTACAACAACCTTTAGTGTATATAAATGCTAAAGAAATTCTTTTTATCAATCAATAGAGGTTGGCAACTGCCTTACAATTTATAGAATTTAAGTCTTTTCTGGGAGACAAAGAAGTTAAATAACTTGCCCAGGATCACATAGCCAAATCATACTACTTGACCAAAAGTTATTCCACTTTTAAATATCACTTCACAAAAGCATTTTATCTCCTTTGACTTGTAGGTTGTCCTTCATTATAAATGATGTATTTTTTTGTTTTTGGGAAGTCATTTTTCTGGAGTTTCTCCTTCAATCCTAATGCTCTGTGAAATGGATGGAAAGGGAAGGCCTGATCAAGAAAGTCAAACAAACCACTTGGATGAATTGTCTCCTGAATGACTGAGAATAACAGAGTGCATTGCTTTGTTTGATGCTGTTGGTAAAGTGTGTAATTAATTAATGGATACATATATTTATCTCCAGCCCAACACGAATACAATATGTAACATTACAATAGATGGCTTGGATTCTGAGAAATGTTATTTCTTCCGGGCCAGAGTGATAACAAGAATGGCTATTTATGGCAGTAAGACATACCCTAGTGATTGGTCCACTGTAACACACTGGAGGAGGAACAAATTGGAAGGTAATGCCAAATTCAAGGCTATACAACTATTTTTAAATGATTAATTTCAAGGGAAAGTATGTGATGTGTTGCTCTCTGTAGGTACAGTCATCTTACCAATGTGGGACTGGATAAAGTATAGCTTATTTTAGATTACCAACAATGTTAATATCTTACCTTCCCTTTTTCTTCTACATAATATATGAGATGGAAAGGAAGGAATTTCTCCTAGCTTTCATATCCCTAGGTAGCCTTTTTCATCACATTGCAGTGAATTGAGTTATGCTAGAGGCAGGTAGGTGGTACAGTGGAAAGAGTGCTAGACCTAGGTGGGAAATGCAATGAAGGAGGGTGAGGTTCTGAGCAGCAATTGAGGCAAAATCTGGGCACTGGACAATTGAAAGAAGACTATTAAAAGAGGCAAAGATCACAGAGAAGATATTAAGGAGGGCATTAAAGATAAACTTCACCTAGTTCTTCATTGAGGAACTCCTGTAGTATGCTGGGGCTTAGAATGACCAGCATGATGCTATCTGTCAAAAGGGATGTCTGGAGGATCTCATCATTTATTTTTTAAAAAATCCTTCTTGCATTTGGATTCTGTAAAGGATATTTTCTATGACAGTTGAAAATGTATCTGGAAAGTATATATCTCCCTCTTTAATGCCTTACAATACTAATGTTCAGATCATTGAATAGGATTTTTGTGTTTGTATCTATCAAGGAATTTTGTATGATATTAAACTATGTATAATAAAAATAGCTAGTATTTATATAACACTTTAAGGTTTGTTATCCATCAATACTTCACTTTTGGAATGAACTCACTTAGCTGATCTTTTACTGCTCCTTGTCATTTACTCCTTTTTGCTGTTCATGAGAAAATAATGCTTATTAAATCCCACCTTCCTCCTGTGTAATGTTGTAAGTTGAAGTAATATCCTAAAATTAGGTTGTCTTTGGCTCGTGTGGTTTCCTGCTTGATAGAAGGATCAAGTGTTTACTGGCTACAATGTTTTTCTGGTTTATTTTGCCTCCTCATCACAACAGTTGCTTTATATCAATTAAACTTCTATAAGAATTATTAAAAATAAAAATCTAAGTCTTTCCCTCTATCCTTTCCTCAATTTTTAATCTTAAAAGAATGCTTGAAGAAGCAAAATTGAAACTCTTGTACCTGTTCACAGTATCTTTGTCTCAGTTTCATCTTTTCATCTACTTTGATGTTGATTTTTAAGCTTTTGTTCCAATTAGTTGATAGTCTGACAGAATGAAGATGGTTGATGGCCTCCAGTGTCAGTAATGAGTAGCTTACTGTCTCATTCTTTTCTTTTCTTTGTATTCTTTCACTTAGCAAAATGCCTTGCATGTAGTAAACATTTAATAAATGCATGTTGACTGAATCATCATTAAGGTGCTGTCATGTTCAATTTCTGTGTATGTTGTTATTTGACTTACCATATACTACATCTTCTGATTCTCTTATTAAAGAAAGTGTTCATGATATTCAGGTATGAGGCTGCTCAGTAATCTATGAGACTTTGGCCTCTCCAATTTTACCATCTCAAACTCTTATTTTCCAAGATATTTTTTCATCATTTGCTCTGTCTACTTTTTCTTTGAAATCATAAATTATCAATATCTATGTTGACTTGGAGGATTTTGGGGAGTTTTTCACAGAATTTCTCCACCTCTTTATATCATTATCTTCATGGTGATCTTTTTGCTTATGTCCATCAGTAGCCTTGTAAGGGGAGATGACCAAGTGAGCAATGGAATATTTTTCTAGTTGCTTTTGGTAGCCTGATGAAATGAACTGCACCGATTCATTTATTCCTCCTACCACAGAGATCCTGGAACCACAGTTTATTTATCCTCATGTTCTTTTTATAAGATCACAGATTTAGAACTTGAAGAGATTTTGGAGGCATCCAGTCCAACAACCTCATTTTAAAGCTCTAAGAAAACAGAGGCCAGGAAGTTTTAAAGGCTTGCCCAGGGTCACACAGGTAGTAAATATCAGAAGTTGGTTTTGAACTTGGGTTCTCTGGCTTGAGAGTTGGTAGTCTTTCTACTGTATCACATTGTCTGCTCATTTATTTAATAGTGAGTATGTCATTATTGGCATGCTTTAATTTTTTTTAGGAGCATATCAACTCATAGTTCCATGGAAAAGGCTCTAATGCTTAAGTATCAATAATTGCATTCAAATTTATGAATGGTCTAAAAATTGCCTGATTCTTTTCTTTCCTTTTTTCTTTCTTTTTAGTTTTCAACATTCACTTTTATAAGATTTTGAGTTCCAAATTTCCCCCCTCCTTTCCTTCCCCCTCAAGACAGCACACAATCTGATAAAGGCTATATATGTACAATCATATTAAACATATTTCCGCATTAGTTATGTTGTGAAAGAAGAATCAGAACAAGAGGGAAAAACCATGAGAAAGAGAAAATAAACAAACAAACAAAAAACAAAGAGAGCAAATGGTATGTTTCGATCTGCATTCAGACTCCATAGCTCTTTCTCTGGATGTGGATAGCATTTTCCATCATGAGTCTTTTGGAATTGTCTTAGATCATTTCATTGCTGAGAAGAACTGAGTCTATCAAAGTTAATCCTCACACAATGTTGCTGTTATTGTGTACAATGTTCTGATTCTGCTCACTTCACTCAGCATCAGTTCAAATAAGTTTTTCCAGGTTTTTCTTAAATTTGAAATTGACTGATTCTTAACAACCTAAATATCCATTTAAAAAGTTTTCTTTAGTTTCATGCATTGCTATGGCTAAAGGATTCATCCCATAGTGGTCAACCTATTGGCAATGGGGACTTAGTCTGTCACTAGGACCATACTTGAAATCTTTCCAAAGTGGTAAAATAGCTATCTTGTTTTCTTACAGATTCATGCACTGACATAATCAAAACACCTTCCCCAAAATATGTCTACATAATTACTAGTCTGGTTGTCTTCCTAATGGTATTGCTTCTCCTTTTATTTTTGAGGAAATCAGCAAGGTAAGAACAAACTTGAATGCTCTCACATTTTAAAATACGTAACTATACTTATTTAAGTTCCTTGAAGGAAGGATCCAGATCTTTGTCTTTCCCCTAGAACTGAGCCCAGTGCCTTGTATACTGAAGGCTCATAATAAGTGTTTATTGAACAAATGTTGAAGAAAATTCTTAAGTAAGCAAGAAATTGTTTCAATGACTACCCACATACTTTACCAAAGGAAATCTAGAAATGATCAGCTAGAAAAAAGGCAAGTAAATACATTGAAGGCAAATAATCTAACATATAGAAACTCAAAATTACTTCAACATATACCAGATATTAATTCTTTTTTAAAATAGTAGTTTATTATTAATGATAATTATAACATTTATATTATTATTTAAAACAATTTTAAACATTTTTTAAAAATAAAATCCCTCCCTCTCTCTCTTTCCTTTCCCCCGCTCCCTGAGGCAGTAAGCAATCTGATATAGGTTATACATGTGCAACCAGATATTAATTCTAAAATAAATTTTGAGAGACTGGTAAATTGAATGGATATTTGTAGGATCACTGAAAGCTGCTAAGTTGATTGTAAGATTTTTAAGAGTCATAACTTCCATTTTATAGAGTACTTTAAGGCAACAAAAAGTGCTTAGCATATATTGTCTCAGAACTTTGTAACTGAGAAGTAGGCAGTACAAGTATTATTAATCTCTATTTTGTGGATGAAGAAACTGAAGGCAAAAAAAACTTTATATGTGTCATTTGTATTTGTTCTACAATCAAAGTTATGTAGGTGATTGAAAAATACTTATTGAAATTGAACTGAAACTATTTCCAAAAAGGCTTTAGCAGAAGAGGAGTTCAAGTAGTAGTTTGTGATTTCTTTAAAGCCTTAAAGACTTAAGTTCTACCTTTTGGCTAAAACAAAATCACAGTTTTTTAGCATATGCAACTTATGTTTTGCAAATGCCCATATTGAAGATATTTCAAAATCTTTCATAAACAATCTTTAATCATCAACTCTTTCCCCCTATACATAAACTGATTTAAAGCCTAGGTGCCAGAAAAGTTAGGCTGACAATGGACAGATGGACTGATTATATATATTCCTTGAACCATGGTGGGATTGTCTATCTTCAAATGACTTTATAGTTATAAATTGGCTGGGCATATTGTACTGAATTCTTGCAAAGGGGCCCATTTCAATTTTGTCTTTAGCAGGAGAGGAGCTCAAACTGAAGCAATCAACATCAGTCTCTCTTTCAAAGGAAATGAAGTAATCTGATAAGCATATTAAGGGCATGAAGACAAGACAATCTGTTTAATCTAGATGACTGTTTGGTATTTTAATATAGAACAGATCTAGTCCACAAAGAAAAAACCTTAGAAAATATCCTTTAGATGGAAAAATACACTTTTACTCTTACTCAGGGAAATCCCTTACTCAAACAAATAAAGTTTAGAGGAATCAATTACATCAAAATGATTATTATTAAATTAATAATATTAGTAATTTTAGGATGCTTCCATGCATGAAGCACAGTTTTCTGTAAAGTTTGCTCCGGACCTAAAATTTGATCATTAAAACTAAGTTGGAAAGGACAGAAAACAAAATGAAAACTGGCTAATTTATATGAGTTATTACCTGAAGGATCTAAGATACAATTACTTACCCTTGATGAGGTAATTTCACTGAAGCCAATTACATCCATTGGTACTAAAAGAATCAGGGGATTCAATTGCTGAAGCATTGTCAGTGATCTCTGAAAGATCATGGTGAATGAGAATAGTTATTAAAGGGATTGTTAATAAACATCTATAAATGGAAGTGATCTCAAAAAGCCACCACCATAGCTTCAGCAAGAATAAGGTATGACAATTTAAGCTTATTTCTTTTTTTTGATAATTATTAAACTGATAGGTGAGGAGAAATAAAATTTTAATTTTATTCAGATTGATAAACCATTTGATAAAGTCTTTTGTGCTACTCTTGTGGAAAAGGTGAAAAGATGTGAGCTAGATAATAGTACCATTACATGGGTTCACAACTGGCCAAATATCTGGACCCAAAGAGTGTTTATTAATAGTTGTGGTGGCAACATTGACAATTTCTCAGCAAAGCATCCCAGGGATCTGTTCTTGGCTCTGTGGGATTTGATATTTTTATCCATGATTTGGATAAAGGTATAGATGGTATGCTTATCAAATGTGCAGATGATGCAAAGCAAGTGAGATGGTCAACACAAAGCAGGTGAGATGGTCAACACACTGGATGGCAAAGTCAGAGTTTAGAAAGACCTTGCCAGGCTAGAATATTGGGTTGAATCAAATAGGATACAATTTATTAAGAATAAATATAAAGTCTTAAATTTAGGTTTCGAAGCTTAATTTCACAAGTACAAGATGGGGGCATGTGACTGAATAGCAGTTCATAGTAAATTTATGATTCAACATTGTGATATTGCAACAGAGAAAACTAGTGAAATCTGAAGCTATTATATGAAGAGAATTTCTAGGATTAGGAAAGAGGAAGTCCAGTTTAACTTTGCCTTTATCAGAGCACATCTGGAGCACAATGTTCAACCTGTGCTCCATATTTTGGAAATGGCATTGATAAACTAGAGATTATCTTGAAAAGGGATACCTAGATGGTGAAAAGCTATAGATCAACTATTGAGGATAAGTTGAAAGACTTGGGCATAGACTGTGAGCTCCTCGAGAACAGAGATTGTCGGTTTGTGTCCTCAGTACTTAGCACAGTACCTGGTATTAGCACATAGTAGGTACCTATCAAATGCTTGTTGGCTAAAAGATTGTTTATCCTAAAGAACAGAAGACCTAGCTGGGATACAATTGCCACTATTTAGTATCTGAAGAACTGTCACCTGGAAAAGGGATATGATTTGTTCTGTTTGGTCCTAGAGGAAAGAAATAGGAACAATTGGAAGAACTTGACAAAGGGCAAAGTTGAGCTCAAGAAGAGAAAACACTTAAAAAATAATGTTTAGAGATATCTAATAGTGGAATAGGGTACTTCAGGAAACAGTCAGCTCACCACCATTGGGAATCTTCAATTGGGAATACTATCTGCCAAGCATTATGCCACAAGCTAAGGATATGGAGACAGAATCAAAACAGTTCCTGCCCATAAGGAGTTCATATCCTATTTGGGGAAAACAACATATACATATTATTATAAAATATACTTAGACACATATGTAATATGTGTGTACATATACATACATACATACATATATTTCAAAGAGGCATTCTGTCGGAGATGGCACCTGAGTTGTGCTTTGAAGGAAATAAGAGATTCTATAGAGGGGAAGTAGATGTAAATTTCTTGGAGGAGCGGGTGCTATCTGTAAAAAGATTTGGAGGTGGGAGATGGTATAGCATGTATTAGAATACAGCAAGTAGGTCAGTTTGGCTGGAACATAAAGAGTTTGAAGGGGAATAATGTGTACTTAGGCTGGAAACCTAGATTGGAGCCAAATGGTAAAATATACGAAGTGCTATCTGTCTAGTATATTGTAGAAGGAATTATTTTTTAGGTATGAGTTGGGCTAGATAGGCTCAAGGGAAGCTAGGTGGCAGAGTGGGTAGAACACTGGGCTTGGAATCAGGAAGACTTATCTTCAAGAGTTCAAATCTGGCCTCAGATACTTACTAGCTGTGTGACCTTGGGCAAATCACTACCCTGCTTGCCTCAGTTTCCTCATCTATAAAATGAACTAGAGTAGGAAATGGCAAACCATTCCAATATCTTTGCTGAGAAAATCCCAAATTGGGTCACGAAGAGTTGGACATGACTGAAATGACTGAACACCAACACAAAGATAGCCATAAATATTTCTTCCGACTCTGATGTTTTGTGATTCTATAAAATTACTTCAGCTGAGGTTATTTGGTGTTATGGAATGAGCAGTGGCTAGGAGATTAGGGTTCTAGTCTGCTATTTACTAGCCCTGTGACCTCACTTACCAAAGTAAATAACCTACCTTAAGCCTTTTCCTTCATCTGTAAAAAGAAGGTAACAACATCTGCCTATCTACTTCGCAAGTCTCAGTAAAATTGACCTGAAAGAGCTTTGAAAACTATAAGTTGTTCTGTTCCCAGAGTTAATGGTAGTGCTATGGGATGATAACAATAATGATAATAAATCAGTTATAAATTATTCTAGGGTTTACAAAGAGCTGTCTCCTAAGACATAGGTACTATAGATGTTGTCATGACCATTTTACTCATAAGGAAAGTAAAGCTCAGAGATGTTAACTGATTTACCATGGTCATCCTGGAATTTAACCTACCTAAAGAGATTTTTGTTCTAATTTCAGAGTTAAGAAATTATTCATACCCATTGTACCTGATCCCAAATATGCTTTTCCTGGTCTATTTGATTGTCACGGAGGAAACTTTCAGGTAACTCTTAGTATTTTTTTGAATTTTGTTTGATTTTTTAAAATCATTGCTACTAAATCAGGTTTACTAGTAATCAAATATAAGACTTGCAGAATAATCTGTTTGAAAATGAAATATTGTCCTATCTCCAGAAACTCAAGAGAAATGTATGATTCAAAAGCAGAAACTTTATGTCTGTCCCTTAAATATTTTGCTTGTTCTGAGGCTCTCCATTAGGCCTAAAAAAGGATCTCTCATTTTTCAGCTTCTATGTGTGAGACCAGGGAAAAGGATGTGTGCTTAACTCATGTCATGGTACTACAAAAAAAAAATCCTTCTAAACTGTTAGGCCTAATGGCAAGGAAGTTCTCTTGATATTTAATCCAGTTATATTTTTCTGTAATTTAAACACATTTCCTCTCCTCTTTGGAGGTGAAGCATACCTTAGCCAGTTTTTTTTAAAGTTACCGTGCAAATCTAAATGTGCTTACACAACTACCCTAACCCAAATTCCTAAATACAAATTTGGGGGCCATCGGAGGAAACTGGACAGAGGATGAGGAGAGGAGCAGGCCAAGTAGCAGGTCTATCCCTCTTGAAATCTCAAAATAGTCAGAAAGAGGTAGGGGGCAGAAGAGATTGAAGAGCAAGGCACCAGCCTACCAGGAAGACTCACCCTGGGTGAGTAGCTTCCCTCTGTCTTGTGCTTACCATTAAACCCCCCAAAATGACCCTCAGTTTACAAGTTTTAATGAAAACAATACTTGAGTTGAAGACATGGAAACTGTGTCTGACTCTCAGTTTTGTTGTTTATCAATGGCTAACACTTATAAAGGACTTTAAGGTTTTGCACAGTGCTTTACAAATATCATCTCTTTTTATCCTCACAGCAATCCTGGGAGCTAGGTGCCATGATTATCTCCATTTTAGAGAAAAAGAAACTGAGGCACATAACACTTAGATGATTTGCCCAGGGTCACAGAGTGTCTGATACTAGATTTGAACTCAAGCAGCTACATGTTGCAGTGGGTAGAGCATGGGGCCTAGAATCAGGAAGACCTAAGTTCAAATATAGAACTCAGGTACTTACTAGCTGTGTAACCCTGGGCAAATTACTTAACTGCTATCTGCCTCAGTTCTTCATCTGTAAAATAGAAATATTAGTATTACCTACCTCACAGGGTTGTTGTGAGGATCAAATGAGATAATAATTGTGAAATGCTTAGAACAGTTCCTGGTACATAGTGCTATATAAATGTTAGCTATGATGATGAGGTCTTCCTGATTTTAGGTCCATTGTGTATCCACTGAGCTACCTAGCTGCCTTATTACTTGCGTGACCTTGGACAAGTCACCCAGCCTTTTTGGGTTTCAGTTTCCTTCTCTGTAAAGTGAGGGGGATAGACTAGATGACCTTAAATGAACCTTTCACCTTTAAATTTATAGTCCAATGTGTTTTGTTTTGCAATTCCATTGGCAATTCCAGTGAGCCTAAGACCTAGACCTGGGAGGGACTTTAGAAATCATCTCTCTACTTACTTTCTAGATGAGGAAACTCAGTCCCAGAGAAATTACATGACTTACCCAAGGTCATCCAGGTAGTAAGTGTCAGTCATCTTTTGATCTCCAGTCCTCCATCTCCAACATGGCTCCATTCTCTCTCCCCAAATTTATACCTAACAGAAAATCACAGTAATGAGTGACGAGAGATTTAATGGATCTTATAACCATATTTTAGAGGAGAAAAAAGAATTTCCACTCCCATTTGATGTTGAATTTCCTCCTTGTCTTGCTAGCTCACATGGACATTAGAGCACTATGCTAGCAGATGCAGCATCTGATATTTCAGTTTGGGATATCTGCATCAAAAGAAAGTGAATGCAGGGCCAGGTAAGTGTTTTAGTGGAGAAAAAGTTCTAATTTATACGTTTTACTTGAATAGGAGTGGATCCAGGATACGGAAAATGTGACCAGCCCAGCTAAAGCAGAACATTTGGAGTGGGAATGTGTTGTTGAGGAGGGGCTTATAGAGGAACTCGCCAAGAAGGACGCCAAAGACGAAGAGGGGAAAACCTTTCAGGAATATCCACAATTGAATGAAGACAATCTGAGCTCTAATCAAATCTCTTGTGTCCCACCTCAAGGCAATGACACTATTTGCCTGGGTGATCTTAAGTTTGTTATGAATGATAATATGTATGTTGTATTATGAAGCTGCAGGGTGCACAGATAGGAGATGGGGTCTAGGCCAGGATCAGCCTAGTAGGTTTCTGGAATTGATGCCAACAATGGTAATAATTACCATCTGTAGAGTGCTTTAAAATTTGCAAAACACTCCATAAATATCTCATTTTTTACTCACAACAACCCTGGGAGAGAAATGCTATTATTGTCCCTATTTTACCACTGGGGAAACTGAGGCAGACAGAAGTTAAATGTCTTATTCAGGGTCTCACAACTAGTAAGTGTCTGAGGCTGGATTCTAACTGGGGCCATCTTCCTGATTCTAGGTCCTGTTCTCTATCCATTATGCCAACTAGCTGGCTATAGACACAGATGAGGGAAAAGTTAGTTCCAGGACCTCCCAAACCCACAAGTCTGCCATGAATTTAACAGCTATTCAGGGAGAAGTCTTAGACTAAATTACATTCATTTTTGTTTTAATTACAGCATCTCTGCACATGTACATACAGCAACTCATCATCCTTAATTTATAAGCTTTACAACTCATAAATGTAGGCACATTTCAATTTGAGTGCTTATTAAGCCACAGATTTATTTTATTTAGAATACTTAGAATAATTTATTTGAAATGTTTATCATATTTTTTCCTAATTCGACATTTGTTCTATGTATGCTGTTCATTTAACTTGCAGTGAGAGAAATACCAGTACAGATGGCCAATAAAGAAACATATGTAAAAGAGTTTTCAAATATCTAGGATGAAGTAACAGAGTATAGGGGAAAGAACATTGGAAAGGGAGTTGGGCAATGGAGTTCTAGTACTCTCTCTGAGACTATCTACAGTTTTATGACTTTGGCCAAACCACCTTTTTCAGTTTCCTTTCCTTAGTTATAAAATGCTGGGGCTGGACTAGAAAATCTCTAACATCCCTTTGAGCTCTAAGTCAAAGAAACTCTTTAAAGCCAACTAGCTCCAAAATGATCTTGTGTGGTGAAGTGATTCTTGCACTGATTTTGGATATAACACTAGGGACTATACAGCAAACTATGACAAAATATGACAAGGCCTCAAGTCCCCATATTGGGATAGGCAAACAAAAAAAGGATTTTTGAAGCTTAACACAACTGACTGAATCATTGTATTGAAATGATAGACTGACTTTGCAAAAATATAACATTTCCTCATGAGAGAGAACCCTCAAACAAACAATTTTTTGAAACAAACCATTCTAGTCTTTGTAATATACTTTGCTTTACAAAGCATTCAGCACAGTCAGTTCCTTGATCTGTCTGGTCCTTGATTTTGTTTTGCTGTGTTTTCACTTGTTAAATAAAGGGGGGGGGAAGTTACCATGAATGTTATCTTTGAGAGTAAAGTTCTAAGTACATGATTTCTGTGTTGATAGTGAAGGGGATTTTTGTACTGAAAGTTTTTTTAGGGTTTGAGGACCATCCGGTTTTTCAGATGATTGAGATTGTAAATTCAGTAGGTGGAAACTAGGTTGAATTGTACATTCTCAAAACAATTGAGCAAAGATACTGTAAAATTTTCATATTTCTGTCTGCATTTTGCTGAAGGGGGTTGGAAACAGTAGCAGGGAGAAGATACCATTCTATTTTCAGAAAGTCCTTGGTCAGGATTGAAAATAGACAACCAAGGCATAATAAGAAGTCTGCAAACTAGGTCACATGCCCTAACATTTGGTCACTTTCTGGAATGAATGTTGGGATCCATTTGCCTGCCTTTGTACACTGCTGTTGCTGCACCAAGTCAGGTGAGGAAATTTCAAGTAAGAAACCAGAGAGAAGAGGACAATAGTGGGAGGAAATGATAAAAAGGCTCAAATTATCTCAGGATACATTTTCAAAAGGGCTTGTGTGGATGAAGCCCAAGAAGTAAGAGCTGAATTCTAAAGCCAATACAGCTCTTGGACTACTTCATAAACAAGGACCAGTTACAGAAACTCTTTTCATATGAGGCTAAACATGGGCATTTCATTTAAAAAAAAAATGGTGGAACTTTGGAATACGTGCTTCTTCAAGTCAGGAGCTATTTCTGCTGTTATTGTCAACGGTGGGCATTCAGCATTCTCAATAATTATGTGTGGATAAAAAGAATAGTTTCTTGTTAAGCAAATTTTAAAAAAATCATAGGAAAATAGTCTAAGGATCTCTTTCAGGTTGCTATTCAACTGTACATGTGACTGGCAACAAATCACCTGGGTTTTAAGTTACCCTACAAGGACTGAAGTAAGAATGAGAAAATAGCAGAATCTGTATGGGTTTTCTACCTCCCTCCCCCCATTTTTTTTTACATTTTATTATTTTGGGAACAATTATAAAGGTAACAGAAGAAAATGCCAGCGACGCTGTAGTCCCCACCCTTTCCTCCCTACCTCTTTGGTTTCTGGACATGTAATCAGTCATAACCAGTTAGAATAATTAGTTCATCCTACAGCTTCTGGCCCCTTAGGCCCAAGTGATTCTCTACTCAGTAGCTTAAAGGAGTTTATGCTAAATGGAAAGTTAAGAGTACAATCCCAATAGCTCAATTTCCCAAGATAGGGAAATTACTAACATTTAAAGTCCTAAACTTTAGATAGAGATTTGGATTTAATTTAAATTTAAATTTATCTCTAGGTAACACCTAGCTTCTTCATGGTTGAGCCAAAATTCAGGTTATTAGAAATGTTTAAGTAAAGAAATGAGTAGGCTATGTTATAGTTTCTGTTAATATACAAGCACCAGAAGGGGAGTTGGGGAAAGAGCAGACCTGTTCTTGGAACTTCCCTTAGTCCTTAAAAAGGTACACCCTACTTGTTGGCTCCAGTTTGAGTCTTCTGTTTTGAGATGCTTGTAGGACGGATGGCTCATTCTCTCCCTTCTCTAACACAGCTCAGCATTACTTTTTATTTCTCCCTTTGTCTGTTGCCAGTCTCAGTTCTTAAGGTTCCCACTCCTTCCTATCTGCCATTTGACAGACACTTGAATAACCTTCCAAATTAGTTTGATATTTTATATAAAACCCAAAGGGTGTGACTAGTCTTATCAAGCAATCCAAATGCATTTCCTATGTGGTCTCATTTTGCTTCATCCAATTGCTTTCAAGGACTTCTAAACTAATTAAGACATATAATTATTCTTCTCTCTATCATCCAGTTCTCATGAACTGGACTTCTCATTTAATGTAATTGCTGGATTGCTTTGAACAGTTCTTGTTCAACATTAAATGAACATATATTTTAAGATTAGGCCTATCTCCAAGATGCTATTATTATCATCATTCTGATCAATAAGTATTTTATATTTTCTATTTGATTTCCCAGGTTTTTAAAAATTAAACTTATTAGCTATTTTCCCTAAGATAGCTAGGTGGCACATTGAGTAGATGGAGGGAGGAAGAATTCAAATCTGGTCTGAGATACTTATTAGCTGCATGATCCTAGGCAAGTCACTTAACTCCTGTTTGCCTCAGTTTCCTCATCTATAAAATGAACTGGAGAAAGAATTGGCTAATCACTCTAGTATCTTTGCCAAGAAAACCCCAAAGGGGTCATAAAGAGTCAGACGCTCCTGAAAACAACCAAGCAACAAGAAGCCTAATCATTGGGAAGTGAGCAATCATGTACTCACCTCATTTGCAGGTGCACAAAATACATCCAGTAGGATGACAAATTCCTTTTTTAGACTGTTAGATGTTTGAGGGAAGGGATCGTGTCTTACCTAGTTTTGTAGTGCTCCCAGTACAGTGGATCAAAAAACACAAGTTCTAAATAAATACTTTTTAGGTTAATACATTTATAATCAGTACCTTTATAATGCCGGAATAAAGGAAGTAAACTAACACTCATTACCAGCCATCCATATTTTATTAGACTCCAATATACATCACTTTTTTTTCAGAGGAGATAATTTGGTTGGTGTTCTAACTAATCCATGTAAAAAGAGCAACACTGAAATAAGATTCTACTGCATTTGTCTTCTCCTGAAATCCTCTGCTACTGCATCATTGCATGGAAGTGACCTTTGGTTTTTTAAGGCTCTGGTTCAAGCAGGGCATGAGGTTGGCAAAAGATGCTACCAAACTGGAAAAGTCTTGAATACAAACCTTGTGAGGGATTGTGTGTTTTCCATTTGAGGACCAGCCTAGCTAAATATAGAGAGGCTACAATTACAGAATGTTGTTCAACATTGTCAGAATGCTCAATGCCTTTTCAGGCCATTTTCTCTTGGAAAGAAATACACATCCAAATCACAGATGTTCCATAACCCTACCTCAACTAATGCTTCTCTCTTTACAATGTTTTATTTAACATCACTTAGGCCCACTGCCCACCAGTCTTCGGTCTACCTCCTCATGCTTCTAAATACTTCCCATTAGCATGCGATCTTCCCTCTATACAGAGGAAATACCTATAGCCCTTGAAAGTTTCTTGTTTGCTTGTGATATCTGTTACTTCACTATCTTCTGCTAGCTGTACTCTTTTTGCTTGTTTTGGAACTATCCTGATATTTCTATTGGACATCTCAGTGGGTTGAGTAAGACTACAGACCACTCCAATCATTCCTTGCTTTCTCTTTTCTAAGAGTTCGTCCACTTGACTAAATTTAAAGTTACTATCCACTTGGCTTTCATCCTTGCCTCCAGAAGTAGGGTCTCTCTACCTTTCTCAGGGTGGGAAGGATATTATTTAGCTATTTCTTCCCCACTGGAACTCATCTTACCAATGTGCCAAAGTTTACCTTAGTAACTTTGGAATTGAATTCCTCTCACTGTGGTGTCCCTTGTTCAGGTGGGCTGTTGAAAAAAGCTACCCTAGATTCAAGGTACTCTGTGGATCCACGTCCACTCAAAGCCATAATGGCTGAGTGCCATATCAATGTGTTTACTTTTGACAGCTGTTAGAATACACAATAAGGCCAAGGCAAAGACATAGAAGGAAAAGTAGCAATAGAACATTTTCCTTATAAACTTTGGGCACGTTCTCCTGCAAATTCACAAAGCATCAGTAAGAAGAATGGACAGGCATTGGAATCATATTGTATGCTATGCATTTAAGGAACACAGGTGATAAAGCACAAATTTATAAGGGCATGCATTATGGAACAAATATATCCAATGCACACCCATGAAGATCTTATATATTCAGGGATCATATGCGGAGGTGCAACTCATGCAATGGT